TAACTCAGTTACTTTATAAAAATCAATTTTAACCTTGGAAGAAACCAGAGAAAGAGAATATAACTTTCAATTCTTGAATTTATCATGTACAGTATGGCGCATAAGGCTGTAAGAGATTAAGGGCAAGGCCAATGAAGTTCACTCACATTATTTGGTTACTCAGCCTACATCTACATGTATCCAGTATTGGTATAAATCTACTAGCGTTCTATCACGAATGCTGTTCTCTGATTGACTACGCTACTCACTATCTATTTTGGGATAAATAATGAATAGCGTAGCAGTGTACTCTTGTTGACAAAATGATGGCTACTTCCTGGCATTTTCAAAGTGTCTGTGGAGAGGATTTAGGTAATGTTTTGAATGACTAGTAGATTTACATGTATACTAAAACAACTAGATTATTCGCTCCCAATTTCTATGCGTGATAGTTGACGAGGGCACAGCCCCAGTCAACTATCACGTGATAGAAATCTTGAGCTCATAATCTAATTGTTTAATCAAAAATATCATCATGCAATGGAGTGTGGCTGTTTACTGCCTTGTTGCATACCTGGGCCAGAGGTAGAGTTTTCTAACAAACAAGTTCTTCATCACTTTCTCCACTTGAAAGAAACCAGTAGTAAAAGCCTGAGGATTATCTGAAAAGGCTTTGATGAAACCATTCTACAAGAGATTAAATAAATCATAACTTTACATAAATATAGAGGGGTTTTTCAAGCAGGTAGCATCAACCAACATCAATAAACACACTATAAGAGATCATACTCGATCAGTTTTATTTCTCTCCTTACCCTTCCCCCTCTAAACGATTGCTAGGTTCACATGCAAGGACTGTTCAGTTGATACAAATAGTTATCAAGGATATTCAAAACAATTTATATAATAATCATATGCAAAATATTTCCTTGGGGGATTGGGAGTATCATTATAAGTTATGCAAACCCTTAGATTCATCTCAGGTTTGCATAACTGTTAACAAGCCCCCTTGTGTTTAAACGAGGCTATGAAAACACAGACTATTGCTTACATTTTAAATGGAATGCAGGGCCTTTAATGTAGCCTTTTATATTACAGGGTCTACCTACCCATTATAAGCTCTTTATAGAGGCTGAAAGCATGACTCATAAATCAGCAAAGTAAAGATGCTTACCTTCAGTTTGTAAAAGAATGATATCAATTTATTAATAATTTGTACCCAACCAACAAGTTTCGTGGTAGGTAATAACCTTGCAAAATTAAACTAAACATTGCATGTAATTTCTATGTGAAAATTTTGGTAAAACAATGATATCAATTTATTAATAATTTATTAATGATATTATTTCATTGTACCTTGTTGTTTTCTCTGTAGAGTCGTAATATAAAAGCCTCTTGGCAAGATTCAATGATTCTATCAATTGGAACAAATAGAGAAATCAATGAATCCTGTTCTTGACATGCAACAGTCAAACATAGTACAAACTTGTACAGACAGTAGTTTAGTGACTAGATATAGTACAAGTTTAATCCTGGTGCATACCAAGAAAGAATTCACATACTTATGAGCACGATAAACAACAATTCCTGTCACCAGATGAATTGGCAGCTTCTTGGTCAACATATCTACCACCAAGATTCTTGACGTGATGAACAGCACACCTCCACTAAGGTAAACAGACTCTCTGCAACAAGAACCAACAATTTATCATTCTCTTACAGTACTATCAAAATGCTGGGAGAACACACCATGTGGTCAAAGCAATGAACAGAGCAGTCCAAGTTCAAGACTGGTTGTCCTATGTAGACTTTTACGCAAGGCACTTGTAAGCATGTATATCAGACTGACTCAGGGTACTTCATTGCTCCATGTATCTCTCTCCAAAAAAATTTGGGTTTCCAGCAAATTACATGTACTCATGTTGTGGTTCAATTTTACCCTTCTCTTGTGAATCATCGTTCCTGTCAAACCAGTGTCATCTAGTTGGAGAAAAACATTGGCCCGGGAGAACCACGTAAATTCCCATTCCCTATCTAGATTAGCCATGTGGCCAGCAAGGTTGCTCTGATAGTGTAGTGGTGATCACATCAGACCGGTAATCAAGGGGACGTGGGTTCAAATCCCGCTCAGGGCATAAAAAGTGTTTCTTCCAATGAAAATGTCATTCAGAAGGTGTGCATCCTTGGTTCCTTCATTAACTTCATATATATACATGTGTATGACAATGAAATATCAATATAAAACAAAGTTAAATACCAGAATGTGCCAAGGGTAGAAATGAAACACAACATTTAAACAGGCAAAAATCTGACAAAATCTGACTGCATTTGTTAAAAACCTACGATAAACTAGCATCCAATTAAGCCTGGGAGCAGCTGAATAAATATTCTTCTCACCAATATTGCCGGCAATATAATCTAACATTTACTAAATGTAGACATGTTGAGAAACAGGAAGCAACAAATAAAAAAAAAATTTGAAACAATCCTGAATATTAGAAAGTAGAAAAAAATAAAGGTAAAAACTCTGGAAAGGTAGCTTATCACAATTTATACTTTGTGGCGTTACTAGTATTTCTGGTGTAACAGTATTCAATGGGCAGGTACATGTATGTTTTGCAGGTTGCAGATTGCAGGTTGAAAAATCACTTTTGAAGTCCGAGTGAGTCTACTTAGCACTTTGGTTAGCCTGAATAGCACTCTGGTTAGTCTAAATTAGCCTAAGTTGCTTGCAGTTTATACTGGGGTTTATTCATCTTCAACTCAAATAAACAAGTCGTTTCACCCTGCAACATGCAACCTCAGCAACCTGCAAAATATACCTGCCAATTTCAATTAGGTTCCATTTCTCAAATTGCCAAATTTTGGGAACATGCCCCATTGATTCTGCAACCACAAGGCACCAGCCACGCCCCCCC